CCCGTTCAGACAGAGGAAGGTGCTGTTCTACGGAGAAACCGCCGAGATCTTCTCAAAGAACCAGCCTTAGCAAGTCAAGGAACTGAGACTGTTGAAGGACCTAACACAGCTGAGAGTCCGCCCACTGAAACACCTCAAATTCCAAGACAAGCTGTAAGAAAGTCCTCAAAGTAGGTGAAATAACCCGATAGACTGATCGAGAACATTTAAAGTGTTTTTATAATGGAAAAAAAAGAGTGAGAAAAATGTGGTGAAAATTATGTGGTGCAAAATGTGAACGTATAGTTTATTGTTGGAAATTTGGGAAATGTGACTTTATTCTTAAGAAAGTGACAGTTTAATTTTAAGACAGTAACAATTTTGATTAAGGAATACTACTGATAAAAGCAGACTGCTGTAATTAATTTCATTGCATTTGTTAAAAGTAAAGATTTTATTTTAACAAAGGGAGATGTAATGATATATGAGCAAATCGTATTTGCTTGTTCGATTAATTAGTGATGTGTCGGTCGCGAACGAGCCGGTACAAAAAGCCGGCTCTTTCAAGTGAACGACGAGAGCCGGCACCCTCCCCTCTGGACGGGAGGTATGACAGCAGGTTAAAATGGCTGTACAACAAACAATAATAAACAGATCTACAGAGATTTAATGATATATGAGCAAATCGTATTTGCTTGTTCGATTAATTAGTGATGTGTCGGTCGCGAACGAGCCGGTACAAAAAGCCGGCTCTTTCAAGTGAACGACGAGAGCCGGCACCCTCCCTCTCGAGCCGGCTCTGTCATTTTCCCTCTCTCTCTCTCTCTCTCTCTCTCTCTCTCTCTCTCTCTCTCTCTCTTTTTCCACGTGTCTGAAGCGAGGTTTGGCATTGGCTCAGCTGCCGTGCTCAGAGAGGTAGACCGGAAAAGAAATGGGAGGGGCGAGGGGCTTGGTAGGTACTGCACGGAGGAGAAAGGGGAGGGGCGAGGGGCTTGGTAGATACTGCACGGAGTGCACGCTGAGCACTTGCTCCGTCGCGTCTGCGCAGCCACCAGACAGACACTAAATTAGGGCATATCTTGGAAGAACCACAAATTTCAAGGGCAGCTGATCCACTGAGCTGGTGGAAAATTGTAAATACCGAGCTTCCATCTACCCCCGTTTGAGCAAAGTAATGGAGAGTAGATTGTGCATTGTAGCAACATCTGTCCCGTCAAAGAGGGTGTTCTCAAAGACTGGACAAATAATTACTGAGAGAAGGAGCCGGATCAGCCCGTCCAAGTTGAAGTATTTAGTTTTGTTGAATGCAAATTTAAAATAAAGCAAGGAGTAGCTTATGTTTGTTAAAATAAAGCAAGGAGTAACTTATGTTTGTTTTGTTCACTGCTGCTGTTGCAGTTAATACTCACTATTTTTGTTATGATGCACCATAATTGATTGTTGTTGGTTGAACTCACAACGAGGGACAATTTAGAGTGCTCCATTAACCTGTCAAGCATATTTTTGGAATGTGGGAGGAAACAGGGTACAGTGAAACACATCTACAATGAAATCATGTTTGCAACAGGGGGGTTTTCACTGTAGCAAATTTGATCTCAGATGTAAGCACACACACACCCACACACACAAACGTATGTGTACACACAGCTAACTGGAGCCATTAGCGCTCATTAGCGCTCCAGTTAGCGTAAGGTTTTTAGCCTTCGAGAGCTAACTATGGCCATCGAGGACTACGAAACGTCCCGTGGGTGTTTTTAGCATGATAACAAGTAAAGCATTCGAGGAAACGTTCGTTTATTTGATTGTCCGTCGAGCCATAAGCAAAATACTCTGAGCAGCTAATCGGACGCTACGGATCCAGCTTCAGTATCTACACACATAGACAGTGATGTCCTTCTTGGCCAATCGGAGGCCAGGATGATGCTCGGTAAGCCAATGGCAGAGCAGCTATGAGTATGTTGAGTACAGGAAACTCGCAGCTGTGACCGAAATAAACATCGTTCACTATGTAAACCAGTGTGGTGGTTGCTGTTGCCTTTTTTCGAACGAAGCAGTAGAGGTCGCTGTTGGATAAGACTTCGTTGTAGTGA